GCCACAATCACAGCCACAATACTAGAACTGTGTCCTTCCCAAAATAATTGAGTGACAACTTCCTAAGTGAAACATTAGGACAACTGGGTGCCCTGCCCCACATCTCTTTCACCCAGCACTTTCCCAAAGAGCAGGTTTCTTAGTCTAGATCATAGTAGGTGTGGGACAGCAAAAGTACATGCAAACCACTGAGAGGGCTACCAAACTAAGACTAGTTCCTTCTCAGTCTCTGTTCTGTTCAACAAGGGTTCCAAAAGTCTTGGCATCCAGTCACACCCAGGGTCACCTTATGAAATGACAATTTTTATTCTCTATTAAATGCCCACTGGCACATGGCATGGTGCCATGGAAATTAAGTGGTCACCCCCAAAGACACAGAAGCACAGAGAGAATACCAACAACTGTCTCCTAGGAGGAGGAAACAGACAAAACAAGGGAGAGAGAGCAAAGAAGAATGAAAAAGAACATGGAGGGAGAGAAAAGGAGTAGATTGACAAACTCAGGCCTGTGCCTGTCACACTGTGGCTTTCTATTCCACGAATTAACCTCCCCTTCACCCCAGGTATAAAAGTCATTTGACATCTCAAGTTCAGGTGACAGAACATGGAGCCATTATTATTTGGTCCTTATCCCAATTACTCATAATACCTGACACATAGGAGCAGCAAGATAAATAGCAATTTCTCTGTTCCTCATCTATTCACAGTTCCTGAACTTTGCTCTTTCCTGTATACCTGTGTGTGTGTGTGTGTGTGTGTGTGTGTGTAAAGTTATGAACTCAACATAAGAAACTCATCTCCATTGTCACCAAAGAGTGATTATACAGAAGCATTACACAGATATTTGGCTTCATACTAAGTAGTTTTAAAGCAATAAATTGCTCAAGTTTGGAAGGCTACTATCCCTGCTTCTTATTAATCAAGTGATCTCAAAAATTTTACCTACTTTATTATTATTATGACTTTATGGCATTTGCCAGTAAATGAATGGATCTGGAGATTATGCTAAGTGAAATAAGCCAATCCCATAAAACCAAAGGTTGAATGTTCTCTCTGATATGTGGATGTGAACCCACAATAAGTGGGGAAGGGATGAAAGAAGTTCTTTAGATTAGACAAAGGGGAATAAAGGGAAGGAGGGGAGAGAAATAGGAAAGACAGTGGAATGAATATAACATAATTTTCCTATGTACACATATGAAAATACCTAAGTGAATCCCACCATCTCTATCCACCCACAAGAATGGAGTCCTATAACAGAATAAGATATATTCTATGGTTATATGATTTTATCAAAATGGATTCAACTGATATGTATAACTAAGAAGAACAAATTAAAATAAAATAAAAATGTTTATTTAACAAATAAAACATTTATCTACCTTCTCCAAGTCTTGTTTCCTCTATAATTAAAATATTTATTTGAAAGATTGCTAAAGGTATTAAGAGGAGGACAAAAACAATGTGAAATGCCAAACAGCACAAATATAGGTACTGCTCATTCCTTTTATTCTATAATGTACATGCTATGATAAAAATGCACTGCTTATTAAATCTGAATGCTTTACTATTATTCCAAAAAGGAGAAATGTTCCTCAAGGGCCCTTAGCAAGAACTGAAATTATCTTTATTATAATTTTACTTAAATATTTATATTCCTAAAACTAGACATAAGTGCCTTTGCTTACAGCTCTCATACAATGTATAAAAGAACCTGACAAATTAAGAATAAATCAAACTGAAAAACTAAAGAAATATGATTTTAACATTAATTCCATGAGACTAATAGTATTGTTTTGGTGACGCTAAATCATAAACTGCAACAAGAATATGATACTGATGACAACACTGACTTTCTGGATATAATAATTCCTTCATTGGTGAGAATCTGATGACCTAGTCTCAACCCTCTGCCAGTTTCCTGACTCAGCTGCCAAACCACTGTAAGTATAAAGTGATATATTACAGAGCAAGTGCATCCTTTCTATATTAAGTACATTCTTTTTTCTCATTGACTAGAAACAGAATTTCATTGATTTTCAATGTCTTTGAGTATTAAATGAATGATTTTGCATACTACCAAGAGAGGGAAAGTACAACTTCCAATTAAACTATGACATAATATTAAAGTGTCAGCAACTGTATGATGCATCATAAATGGTGGTGCACATCTATAGTCCTGGCTATTGGGAAGGCTGATACAGGAGGAGCATTTGAGGCCAGAAGTTCAGGGCCAGCCCAGGCAATACAAATAGGCCCTGAATATAGAAAAAAAAAGTAAATATTAAATCATGGAAGAAAATGTTCATCTTGTAATCAATGAATACAGTAATTCTCCTTAGCACCAGGATAGTAAACCCAAAATTTGGCTCCTAAGTCATTAAGTAACACTTAAAGATAGAATATATTGGGCTGGGGATGTGGCTCAAGCGGTAGCGCGCTCGCCTGGCATGCGTACGGCCCGGGTTCCATCCTCAGCACGACATACAAACAAAGATGTTGTGTCCGCCAATAACTAAAAAAAAAAAATTTTAAAAAATAAAAATATTAAAATTCTCTCTCTAAAAAAAGATAGAATATATTTATAATGTATTTCTTTAAATTACCAGAGAAATAAAAAGTGAACATTTACAAGACATTAGTGGGATTCTTGAGAAACCCCAAAACATGTATATTTATTCACAGAATTCCACCAACCCTATATTGATAAAAATTGACAGACTTTATGTCAAAACCACAATAATGTCACCCAGAAATCAGGAATGTTGTAAAAATTAACAACATCCCATCAAGAAACAATTTTCAGTTCTTACAATGAAACTAATACCCTATCCCTCAGAGGAATAATTTTTTTAAATCTATTTATTAAATGCCACTCATGTATGGTAGAATAACACCTTAGGAAAAAATGATAAACCAAGACTATCAGTGCTGTCTTTCAACTGAAGGTGTCCACTTCTAGTAACTAACTGATATGTTCCAACACTATTTAGCATGTTGCATATATTCCCACATTTAATTGTATACTATATCATTTGATGTTATATTATCTATGACATACATATATAATTTGAACACATTCCTCCTTTTGTTCTAAATACTTGCCACACAGTGTATGCTTCAACAATATCCATATAAACCCCTCCTATTTTCCCACTCTATCATCCCCTTTATTTCCCACCTAACCCATACCCAAGACTATTACTTCCCATGGATTACACAACAAACTCAATATAGATTACATATAACAAAATACAGCTGAGAAAAACGATTAAAACACTGAATTCATACTTTAGCATTTTAATCATAGATAACCATTCTCATTGGGAATACACTCTCAGAAGGTTTAATGCATATAAAAGTTTTGTTCTTCTAAAAAATGGGATGTCAGTATCCAAACAAAACAAAATAAAACAAAAAGATGGGCTGATGCTGTTTTCCAAAGGATACAATACCTAATTAGTCAGCATTTGTTGGGGGTGGGATAATGAAATTAGAAGACCACAGGCCAGTCTTCTGTGTTATAATCCTGCCTTCTGAAGAACTGTGAAGAATTTGGAAATGGTTAAGTTCTTAAATGTTGCATTGCTTTACAGTAAATGCTTATGTGCAATGCTGAAAAGAAGGGGAAAAAAGCCTCTTGTCACCTGAGTGGAGGACATTCTTGCCAGCAGGAACTCATAGGGGTCTTGTCTGCCAGGCTCCTTTCCACAGTCATCATTCCAGCCATGTGAACAGTGGCTCCTCAGAGAGCACTGGCCAGAACAGAGCCTGCTTTCTCAGCTTGACCTGCAGAAAGCACTGAGCTAGCCAAAGAAAACAGGTTTTCCAAACTTGGCTGCACATAAGGACCACCGGAGGGACAAAGCTAAAACAGATTGGTAGGCTCTGCTCCAGCTCTACTAAATCAGAACCCCTAGAAGTGGTTCCTCTGATGGGGCCAGTATGGGAGACAATGAACCGCAGGCATCAGAGTGCCTTAGAAGGAGAGAAGAGGGGCGGTGAGATGGTCAGGCTAAGCTAGATGCTGATGTTTTCTGTCCTGCTAAATGAATGCTGCTGCCTAAAAGGGTGGGGGATGGCAAAGCCATTTCTACATCTCTGATGATAGAATAAAATAGTACTATGTAGGTCTTGTACTAATGAATTTTCTCCAAGTAATGATCCAATAACAACAGATAGAACAGCTAGGTTTTCAAAAAAAAAAAAAGAAAGAAAGAAATTAAATGGTGGCAGACATGTCCAAGGAATATTGCAGGGATTTGATCCCTTCATGAATCTTGTAATAGATGAATGTGTGGAGATGGCAACTAGTGGACAACAGAACAATATTGGAATGGTGGTAATACGAGGAAACAGTATCATCATGTTAGAAGCCTTAGAACGAGTATAAATAATGGCTGCTCAGCAGAGAAATCCGTGTCCTCCCTCCAGAAGCCCTGTTTAACTATGACTTGAAAATTGGTTCATGTACATTTTCATATTAAACTTTTTGTTAAATAAACTTCAATAGCAAATAAATTTTTTTAAAAAAGAAAAAAATAAAATAAAAAATGGGATGTACTGTGGAAACAGTAGTGTAAACAGTTTTTCCTCTTAATATTACATGCTTAAATTTTTATGTAATTAAATGCAGACGCCTATTAACATTTTCAACAGC